CTAAAGACCACCTCCACTAATAAAGAATTATTACACATTCATAAAACATCAAACTGCAGGAGAGACAACAAAGTATTTCACATTGTGCTCCATGGTTGAAATGAGTTTGTTTAGGTTGTTATTCGTGAACCAAATAGGTCACGTGATCAGGATTTGAATGAACTCTTTTCTCCGGTAATCCCTCAGTTAAATCCTAAAATCAACAATAAAACAACCTGAACAAACAACCTGCAGAGCTGCTTCAAAATGCACGACATGTTCTCATAGAACGACTCGTCAGATATCCTCCGAATTTGCATCCCAAGAATGACATTACATCCCTAACGTACAGTTACTGAGGTCAGGTTTAGGAAAAGAAACATGGTGAGGACATAATTAAAATGACCCAGTGTGCAATAAAAAAGTTCACATGGATCCGAACATGTGACTCCAGGAGAAAGTCCAGGCAAAAACTAGAGATGTACCGATACCACTTTTTCCTTCCCAATACCGATTCCGATCCCTGAACCTTAAGTATCTGCCGATACCGAGTACCGTTCCGATACCAGCACGTAAAATAAAAATGGATGGGATATGAATTGTTGTATGTCTCAACTCCTAAAACTCTATGTAAAATATTAAGAAATAAATACATAATAGTAGAATGAATGCCATAGAACTTTTTTTATTATTATTATTATCCAGTGTTGACACAGATCAAGACACAGGTTAAAGTGCAGCCACACAATTTGGTAAAAAAGACATTTTAAAGGCTACAGTAGAATGCGTTTTAAACTCCGCTCTGTTCCCATTTCGTTTGCCTGTAGCGTGCGTATGCGTAATGACGTGAGGCATTACGTGGTATCAGATTGGTCATAGGCTGTACTCGCCGATACCCGATACCGCATTTTAGGCAGTATCGGCGGCATTTCCGATACTGGCATCGGTATCGGTACAACTCTAGCAAAAACCTGTTTTTTTGTGACCCAACCTGCCTCCTTACAAGAGCTCAGACTGCTTCCTTGTTTACTGCCGTCAGCGCATTGGTCACATGATCGCAGCCTTTAAAAAGACATAAGATATGTACGAATTTGGGTGCACTGATTTGTGTCGGAAAAAAATTTGTGAGAACAGCCTGAAACGCAACATGAGGAAACTATACTGTCTGAAGGCCCTGACACATTAAGGCGTTGGTAATCGTCTGTTGCCCTGGTGTGTCCCACACCATCGGCCCTTGTCGGTTTTGTTTCGCTGATGCTGATTCAGCAGCGGTAACGGTGGAACCTGTTGGTGAATGAAATCACTGTGTTTGTCAGCTGAGCTCAGCACACGAGAAAAGAAACCGAAGTGAGGAAAGTAAACAAAAAGCTAAAGTCCAGAGGGAGTGAGACCAAAACAAACTTGTTACCCAGGGTTCCCATGGTCATGGAAAACCTGGAAAAGTCCTGGACTTTGTTGTGTGTAATGAAATTTTTTAAATAATCCTGTATTAATAACCTTCCTGTGACATAACAGCAAATAAATTTTCTGTAGCTGATGATGTAATGTCGCTCTGATAAGCATCGATATGTGACAACATTTGTTTACCATCACATACGTTTCTCCATTTTCTTCTAGTATTCTCTCTCTTCACGTATAGTTAGCTGAAGTTATTTAGTTTGAATCTGATATGTTTGAGAAACGTCGGGCAAACAGAGCATTATGGGTCCTTGAGAAGTCATGGAAAAGTTGTGAAATTTTGTCCATGAAGCTGTGTGTGACCCCTGTGATCCATAAGATCAGATTATTTTTCTCTTCAGCAGAAACGTTTCCTGATGGTTTGTGTTATTGTTCACTGGCGCACGGTAAATATGCTCTGATTGTGTTGTTAACATGCTAACTGGCTAACTAGCATCAAGACGCTCTTCCTGTTTCCCTTTTTCAATGATGAATACAGACGACCGCCGTCTGCTGCTGTGGAGACTTATTTCCTCTCAGCAGGAGCAGAATGGACGAGCTGGTTGGCCGTCGGCTGGAGTCTTTGCGGTGTGTTCAGGTGCAACGTTTTGGCTGAGACCCCACAATGTTAAGGCTAGTTCACATTACACGATTTTCACCGACGTCATAGATATGGACATCTGGCATGCTAGAAAACTGGAGAAGTGTGACACAACTGACAAAGAGCATCAGCCAATGAGAGGCGGGATACGTCCCACGTCAGCACGCAGGAGGACAGAAGAAATGGAAGAGGACAAGCTGCAGGGTTGCCAGATCCGCTTATTAGCTGCGACTTTGGGCTTGTTTTCTTGTAAAGTCGCTTACAAATACTGGTCGTCACGGGTTGTGTTTTTGGGCTTGTTTCTAAAGTGGAGTTGCTGCCTTGGGCTTGCTCTCTGAACGTCACCTTCTTCTACATATATCCGTCTGATAAGTTATTTAAACCTGTGATAGTCGCTTCTTTTGGGCTTGTTTCCATAGCCCCGGTTACATGTTTCTCTCACAAGATCTGGCAACACTGACAAGCCGACAAGCAACAACAACAATGGCGGCGTCCACAGGATCATGGGGAGCGTGATGTGTTGGGACCCAGGCCCTGGAGGCAGATCTGATTCAACACTGGGAAGAATATCCATGCCTTTACGATGTGTCGTCTCCAAGTTTGGAGACGTCACTGCGTTATCTGGGGCTCTGTCGGCGAGGGCTCAGTGGAGAAATCTTGTGGTGTGCACACACAGGTCATAACGCAGTTGGCGAGACTCCCGCTGGCAGAAACACACTTCGCCAGGTATGAACACTCAAAAGATTACTAGGGATGCACCGAAATGAAAATTTGTGGCCGAAGCCGAAGCTGAATAACATTAAACGCTTGGCCGAATACCGAGTACCGAATACCGAATATTGTTGTTTAGTTTTTCATTAGTTTTTGCAGATGAACCCTCCAGATTAGTGTTGTCACGGTACCAAAATTGGATCCCACTGTACGATACCAATGAAAATATCATGGTTCTGAGTAGTATCAGGATATCACAGCGAAAATGAGACAGATGTGTCTTTTGTCATTTATAAAAAGATAAATCACTTTTCTATAACACATCAATGATATTTCAATGGAATAAATTACTTATTGACTTATTCATACTTCAAAAACAGCATCAATCAGTGATTAACATAGGGGGGATCAAAATAAAATAAATAAATAAAATAAGAATCAACCAGCCACCCTCCTCCCCACCGAATACCGAATGTGTGTTTTTTTGCAATATTCGGCCGAATATATTCGGTTACCGAATATTCGGTGCATCCCTAAAGATTACGATAGTCTCTGCGACACAAAATCAGGCTGAAAATCGTGTAATGTGAACTAGGCTTTGGGCAACACAGCAGGGGGCACTCATTGATGCTAGTTCTCTGAAGTCAGTTTGGTGTGTCTGGGCCTTTAAAGGTGCGGACACACCAAACTGACATCAAAGAACTAGCGGCAACGAAAGCCAACTGTTGCGTCGTCTACGTCGCCTCACGTCGCCCTGTGTCAGTTGCATTTGAACACACTACACGGACTACATCCGACGGCCAAGTAGCACGTACGTTCTGCGCCTGCGTGAGAGAGAGCGGAGTGAGAGAGTGGTACATCCTGTCAGCCGAGGGGTTTCCTATCTGTGCAGCCGAGCACCGCAGCACCTCCACGGACTATTACATCCAGACGGTCCCGGTGTTTCCTCCGCAGGCTCCACTTCACTCAGCTGCCCGATAAACCCGCTGCTTCTTCCCACTTTAACCTGAATAACAAACCAGGGCTCGGTGCTCCGGTTGGATCCAAACGGAGAGCCGGGGCTAGCTCAGAGACTAGCGGAGGCTAACTGGCTGTGCTTCCCTCCGGTCATGCTGCGGCTAACGCTCTGCTAGCCGCTCCCAGCTAGCTCCGGTTTGTTATTCAGGTTAAAGTGTGAAGAAGCAGCGGGTCTGTGGGGCAGCTGAGTGAAGTGGAGCCTGAGGAGGAAGCACCGGTTAGCCCCGGTTTCACTACAGGCAGATTCACTCGCTACAGGGGCGAGGAAATAAAACCTGAACAGCCAATCAGAGTGATGTCTCTCACTGACAAGCTCCGCCGCCGATTCAACATGCTCAATCGGCCGAAAAGTGCTGACGGTGCAGGACACACCGCAGAAACTAGGGCGACAGACGCTCACCGATTCTCCCCACACACACTTCTTTTTGTTTCTACAGTCTAAACTAGAAATGACTTCACCCCAAACGTGCAGCTGTGATCAGATTCAGTCACTCACAGTTGTTTCTAAATGAGCACATGAATAGTTGATATGACTCAAAGACACATCAACTATTAACACATTAATGAAGAACATAATGAGACAGAAAGCTCCGGTACACCAGAGCATATTGTTCCTGATGTCGGCGTGCTCCTCTCAGGCAGCGCTCTGCTTCCAGACCGACCTTCACTAATGAACCTCTGAGATGACAATGGTGGATAATGCTTACTTGCCCACAATAATGTAATTGCATTTATATCCTGATAAAAGCTTGCCTAATAAAGACAGTTATGTTGGGCTGCAGCAGGGGGCCTTCTGTGATTCTGCTGAGTGAATGGTTGTGTTGCAGGAGGGGAATAATTGGCTGGGGGAGACAGGGAGATCCAATGCAAGCATATTCTGTCCTGGCTGCTTGTGCTGCACATACTAATTGGGTGCCTCTGCTTGGCTAGGAGGTAATGAAACTGCCGTTATCATAACAGCCGGAGCAAAGTTCATTATTTATATCCAAATGCAGTGGAGTGTGAGCGCTGGGGGAGTTTACTGTGCCTGTGCTGCAGCTCTCATCTTTAAGTCACATCTTATACTGTACAGCACACGTTAAAAACAGATCCAACTCCCCGTCATGAGAAGATCACATGTGTGTATTCACTCTGTGTCTCCACCTCATGGACTCTTATTACTGCTGGCTTTGTCTCCAATGGTGTAAAAGTGTCTGATGCTGAATTGTTAGTGCACATTGCCTTGGTGTGTTTGGTGCTGTTGGCTCACACTCACCCATTTCTTGAAAGAAGTATCCATTCTTGGACATCCCAGAGGGAGGTGCCTCTGCAGGAGAGAGCAGAGACACAGAGACGGTAATCAGCGAGGTGAAGCTGTGGAACAGTAACAGGCCCTGCAGGGAGCACTTTTCACTTTAAAATGAAATACTCATTATTTGTTATTATTTTTACACAGTAATTGTTGTGTGAGACGCTCACTGGCACAAATAGGAGCCGTTAACAGACTTTTATTGGTCTTTTAGTTCAAGAACGAACATCGACATTTTTAAACATTTAAAAGTGAGGCACATCATGGACTCAGGAAGTTACTCACAAAAATATCATCTTTCTGTTACTCACTCATGATCAAAGCATCTCTCCCTAATGGCCATTAGGACACATAACAATGTCTCCTAACGACACACGGAAAGCTGTAGCAGGGGAAGATAAGGGAGGATACCCTCCTTAAAGCTGATACACACTGTGTGATTTTGTCCCAGACTAAAGACGAACAGAAACGTGGCAATATCTTTGGTGGCGGCTCTAAAACGTTGGTCCTACATCACACAGTCAGAAAGGTTCAAGGATGGTCGCTGTCACGGTCTGTGATCAAAGACAGCTACAGCTACGTCTACTAACCAACCAATAGAAATGCAGCATGAAATGAGCCAAACAAACAGACGGACAGCAGCTCGCCATGGAGGCAAAACTGAAGCGCTAAAAGAAATGAATCTCAGTGTAAGTTCAATCAGGAAGACCTCTCTCGTGCTCACCCTTTCACATTCTCTCCATCCCACTCTCACTACTCCCTCCAATCAGTTGACTACGGCTGTTCACTCTTCTAGTTATCCAATCACACTTTGTCACGATCTCTCAGCCAATCAGGATGCCACTGCAACATTTTAAATCTGCTCTCTCTTCTGCTGCTGTCAGCCATCATTGAAGGCAGAATCTTCGCGTCCAGGATGAGCTCTCAAAGACTCATTCCTCTACTCATCCAGATCATCGGCACTTCTCCATCTTCCTCTCATCAGACACTGGTAGTGGTAGATGTGGTGAAGAGGGGGGGGTTCCGTATTCGACTATGGATTCATCACCCTCCTTAAATCAAACCATCTCTACAGGATCTAGGAATTACAACCATTTCTTCACACAGTCCCCCGACTTTAAGGGCTCGTAAGTATTTGGACAAACTAACATAATCATCAATTAAACAGTCAGTTTTAATACTTGGTTGCAAATCCTTACAGTCAATGACTGCCTGAAGTGTTGGACACATAGGCATCATCAGATGCTGGGTTTCTTCCCTGGTGATGCTCTGCCAGCCCTTTACTGCAGCCGTCTGCACTTCCTGCTTGTGTTTTGGGTGTTTTGCCCTCAGTTTTGGTTTCAGCAAGAGAAACGCATGCTCAATTGGATTCAGGTCAGATGATATGACTTGGCCATTGCAGAACATTCCACTTCTTTGCCTTAAAAATGTCTTTGGTTGCTTTTGCAATATGCTTCAGGTCAATGTCCAACTGCACTGTGAAGCATCGTCCAATGAGTTTTGAAGCATTTGGTTGAATCTGAGCAGATAATGGTGCCCCAAACACTTCAGCTTTCATCCTGCTGCTCTTGTAAGCAAGACAAGACTTCACTAGAATAAATACAGAGGGTTTATCACAAGATGCAAACCATTGGTTAGCCTTAAAAATGGAAGGCCAGATTAGAGTTAGTCAAAAACCATCTAAAAAGCCTGTACAGTTGTGGAACAGCATACTATGGACAGATAAAACAAAGATCAACTACCAGAATGATGGGAAGACAAGAGAAGGAAGAAGGGAAGGAACTGCTTATGATCCAATGCACACCACCTCATCAGTGAAGCATGGTGGAGGTACTGTTATGTCATGGCCATGTATGGCTGCCAGTGGAACTGGTTCTCTTGTATTTATTGATGATGTGACTGCTGACAAGAGCAGCAGGATGAAAGCTGAGAGTCTGCACTTTAAGCAGGTATTCATTGTTTCATTTAAAACCCACTGTGGTGGTGTACAGAGCCAAAATGACGACAACTGTATCATTGTCCAAATAATTATGGACCTGACTGTATGTCGGCAATATGCTAAAGAAAAAAAACGTAACAACTCGTTTGTCATCGGTAACCAAACGATGAAGCTGGAGAACATCCGTGACCATGAACGCCGCCTGTGTGGCTGTGTCCCACGCTCAGTCCGAGCCTCTCCTCTCGACACCCGCTGTGACGACACTCACGGCCTCTCCTTTAAGCTTGTATTCAAAATAATACTGTATTATCTCAATGAAATGTACTGAAACAAATGTATATGTAACAGAAAAAAGGCAATTCATTATTTTGGCTGGTAAAAAATACGCTTGGCCGGTGAGCCAAAAAGTTAATTTTCAGCCCTGGATGTGTAACATGAAACTGTGTTATTCAGTGTTTCACCAGTTTGAGAGGAAGAGACCTCTGTGGATAATTCAGGTCATGGTAAAACCTCATGAACATCTGGATCAGAGAACGGTGAGCACACATTAACTCATGAGAGAAATGCACACCTTAGCATGCTGTGGGTGAACGCTGAGACTGATTGACTGATTTGTAACATGAAACATATTTATTCAGTGTTTTTAGCGATTCTACTCGTTTGTTTTGAAGACAAGACGTCTGTAAATAATTCAGCTCCTGATAAAAACCTCCTGAACAATAAACAATTCAGACATTATGAAGTTTTTATCTGGTCACAATCTGCTATTCACCGCCAGACGCCACCAAATCCCCCGAAATCGAACACACTTCATCTTTAATATTAAAATAATGAAACGCCTCAAGTTCAAACAGCCTGAACTGGAGCTGCCTGACTTTCCTCAGTCTCATCACCTCGACAGAGATTTGTGGACAGAGAAAAAACGGAGCTGATAATCAGTGAACAGACTATTTAGATTGTGTAACACAGGTTTGGTTTAATGAGGCCACAGCTGTCAGAGACGCTCTGTGTAAGAGTGAGCACAAACTGGGCAACCCTGCAGTTCAACTAGAGGGCAAAAAGAAGAATCCCCTCCAGGGCACGAAGAGCGTTACCAGAAAAATGTAAAGGCTTCATTCCTACATGTTCATTAGGTGGAAAAAATGTTAACAGGCAGTGATTATACGCAACATACACCCCTTTCAACAGCAAAGGTCTCGACTTTGCTCCTACACACTACGCGATAATCCATAGTGAGTTTTGCTTCCAGGCGAGCAATCGTTTAGCGATGGTGGGGTGCAGCGTTTTTAAAATGGTGGATATCTCATTTTGGAATTAAAGTTAATCTGGTGAGGAGCTGCACCACAAATGCACAGAGGGGGAATTTAGAGTACAACATTTCAGGGTGTTTGTCACGCGGCCCTGTGGACGCGTGCAGAATGCGGATGACACAGAAAGAAGAGGCAGATATGAAGAGGGGATACTGTGAAGGTTATTGAGACATTGTGGGCTCAAGGAAGGATGGAGCGGGGTGGGGGCTGTGCCACCAGACTCCAGTCAGGCTTCTCTTCTGCATTTATATGTCACCATATTCATCCTGTAACCACAGAACAACAGCCTCCCACAGACGGGAGCACAGACAGGGGAGGAAGCCACACACCTGTACGTGCACACACTCTCGTCTGAAACTATGTGAAACTCTGATGTCGTCAGGATATCTCTCCCTCCTCAAAGGATTCTTTGATGTGACAAATACAGAATGCAATTTTAATTATACAAAATGTTCCCTCACTCTCGGGTCTGGACGCAGAGAGGAAAGGAAACTCGGGAGTAAAAGAAGCGGGGATTGGTTTATCCCCACAACAATTAGCTTGTTTAATCTACACAGGTAATGATGTCGCTGCTGTGAGAGAGATCTGCATTTTGCATCAAGTCTTTCTCTGTAACGTCTCCCTCTCTGGTACTTTGACTCTTTGCTCCGATGGTTAATGATATGTTGATTTTTTATGTATTTTTAAATCTTATCTGCAAACCAAATCTTCCCTGTGGAACACGCACACACACACACACACACACACACACACACACAAACCATTTTAAAGACACAGTTTGACATTTTGGGATATATGCTGATTTAGAAATTTGCTCAGTTGGATGAGAAGGTCAATACCAGTCTCATGTCTGCACAGTAAACAGGAAGAGACAGCCAGCAGCCAGTTAGCTTAGCACAGAGACAGAGAGACACAGTGCCTCTAAAACTCACTATTGAACCCTAAAATCTCACGACACAATCACACACATGGTTACGTTTAGCCAACACACACACACGTGGTTGGGTTTAGGAAAAAGAACAGGGTTTGGCTTTACAATCTTACAGGAAGTGAACACCGGCCTCCTGGGTGAAAGTCAGCGGTTGTTGGACCCATCCACCCTACTCGGACTTTCGGTGCTTTAACTTATGTTGTTGCCCTGCCATGTATCATGCTGACGGCGATGGTGTCTGACACCAGAAGTCACTGACCAAGTGCCAGATTTCCCCAACTTTGGAGTGAGACTGGGTTATCTAAAATGATGTCTTTATAAACAGGACAGCTGAAGGACATGTGCAATGTTTTGACAACGTGTTATGTGTGCGACCCACTGCAGGAGATTTAAGTAGCTGTTAGCGGTTAGAAGCTAACTCAAAGAAGAAGAACAGCAGCTGTTAGCAGTTAGCAGCTAACTCAAAGAAGAAGAACAGCAGCTGTTAGCAGCTAACTCAAAGAAGAACAGCAGCTGTTAGCAGTTAGAAACTAACTCAAAGAAGAAGAACAGCAGCTGTTAGCGGTTAGAAACTAACTCAAAGAAGAAGAACAGCAGCTGTTAGCGGTTAGAAACTAACTCAAAGAAGAAGAACAGCAGCTGTTAGCAGTTAGAAACTAATTCAAAGAAGAAGAACAGCAGCTGTTAGCGGTTAGAAATTAACTCAAAGAAGAACAGCAGCTGTTAGCAGTTAGCAGCTAACTCAAAGAAGAAGAACAGCAGCTGTTAGCAGTTAGCCGCTAATTCAAAGAAGAAGAACAGCAGCTGTTAGCGGTTAGCAGCTAACTCAAAGAAGAAG